GACTGTGCCGTGTTCCTGTCGGCCGGCCGCCCCAACCTGCCCTACATTGGCCGCATCCAGAGCATGTGGGAGTCGTGGGGCAACAACATGGTGGTCCGTGTCAAGTGGTTCTACCACCCTGAGGAGACCAGTCCGGGCAAGCAGTTCCACGAGGGCCAGGTGAGCACAAGGGCTGGAATGTGTCCTTCACTGGACTCGCAGTCTCAGGCTGCAGGGTAGACAGCCATTCTGGGTGCTGGGGGACAATGATGGTTGACGCCAGGGGCTTGCCTAGTCCACCCATCGGTGGCTCCCTTGCCCTGGGCTCTTGTCAGGGCACGGTGGGACCTAGGCTCACCTCCAGCCCATTGTCTGTCTCCCATGCAGCACTGGGACCAGAAGTCCAGCCGCAGCCTCCCCGCAGCCCTGCGGGCCTCCAGCCAGAGGAAAGACTTCATGGAGGTAGGGGGCAGTAGGCGAGGTGGGTGTGCCTGCCTTTCTCATGTTTCCCCAGCCCTGCTGTTCACTGCTCTGGCCCATCCCTTCCTCCGGTGGCCCCCCTCAGCCTTAGGCCTTGTCTGCAACTCCGAGCCGCAGACTCCAGGGCTCTGCGTGTCTCTTGGTCTTTGTCTCTCTCGGTCTTTGTCTTTCTTGGTCTCCGGATCACTCTTGGTTTCCAGGCCTGTGCTCAAGGCATTCACTGAGCCCTCTGGTCTGGGTGGGGGTCTTCCTGACTATCCCTGATGTCCACCTGCCGTGCCCGCAGCGCGCCCTGTACCAGTCCTCGCATGTGGATGAGAACGACGTGCAGACGGTGTCGCACAAGTGCCTGGTGGTGGGCCTGGAGCAGTACGAGCAGATGCTCAAGACCAAGAAGTACCAGGACAGCGAGGGCCTCTACTACCTGGCGGGCACCTATGAGCCCACCACAGGCATGATCTTCTCCACGGACGGTGTGCCTGTGCTCTGCTGAGCACCCCCGCCTGGCCTGCCCAGGGCCCCACCAGCTGCACCATCACTGCCACACGCAGGGGCCATGTGGGTTGTGTGCATGCCAGTGTGCCCATGGGCGTGTGCATGTGGCCAGGTGTGCCTGTGGGTGCCCTGGGCGAGTGTGAGTGTGTACATGTGTGTGCCTGTATGCATGCACGTGTGTGCACACATGTGCACACGCCTCCAGCCTCACTTTCTGAACCCTTTGGTGCCCCCCAGGACAGGGGCCTCTCTCAGCTATCAGGGTATGGCCTTGCCGTCTCCCCTCAGGGCGGCCCGGGCCAGGACAGGCCTCAGGCCTCCCTCTAGCATCTTGTCAGCTGCAGCTTCAGGGGGAACCCAGGTGCCCCCCTGGGGCAAAGCAGAACAGGGACTCAGAGGGGAGGAGGTTTTCAAGGAACCAAACTGACACTTGCTCTGGGCTTCTGGGCCACCTTCAGCATGGAGCCCACCCCAGGGCCTCTCACCTGGGACAGGGCGGCCCAATGCCTACCAGCCTCACCGACCATGCTGGGTCTGCTCTGTGAGCCCTGCCAGGGCCCGGCTGCCACCCTCCTCAGGATGGCCTGGACTTGGAGATCAGAGCTGGGTGAGGTGGAGCCCAGAAGCATCGGCAAGGCGCCAGGGGAAGGGGACCCAGCGAGGGCCCACCCCAGCCCAGACCCTAACACTACAGAAAATCCAATGGTGCTGAAATCCTCGCCCACTCGGCCACGCCCGGCCCCTCCCCGCCCAGGAGGGAGGTGGCAGTTCTTACCTGTACAGTTTTATTGTACCAAGAGAGACTCACCCCGCCCCTGTATCATAAGCCTTTAAATGGAGTCAACTTTTTAATTATATATATAAAGATAAATATATATAAATATATATAAATATAAACTTTTTAAAACTGTGAAAAAATAGCTATAGAATTATAAAAAAAAAAGCGAACACATTCTGACGTGCAGAATATTATTTTTTATTTCCTGTTAGATTGTGAGTGTGTAGCACCCGGCTTCACTGGCCTCCCCAGCACCCCGCCCTGACCCAAGTGTACTGTACTCACCCCCAAATGGAGAAGGAGTTAGGGAGAGCAGAGGAGACAGGAGGGAGGGAGAGGCAGGGGGGGGGGCAGGGAGAGCAGAGGAGACAGGAGGGAGGGAGAGGCGGGGGGCCCCCCAGCCCCCGGTGCCCCTGCCAACCCAAGAAAGCACTTAACCAGCCCCCGCGCCTTCCAGGGAAACGGAGGCCTTGTCCAGACAATCTTGAGGGAAGGAAAAGCCAGACTTCGGTTTTTTTTTGGGGGGGAATTATTGTTTTCCTAATTTTTTTTAAGTTTCTTTTGGAATTTTGTTTGTTGGCAAATTCTGTGTGATCTTTTTCATAAAAAAAAAAAAGAAAAGAAAAGAAAAAGATTTAATTGGAAAAATACTACTGTGTGGAGTGGCTTATTTCAGGGGCCAGGCGGGGTTGGTGTCTCAGGGAGCCTGCCCATTTCAGGGGGCGGGAGGCTGAGGTCACTGGGAGTCTGGCTGCTGAGCACATTGAGGCGAAAGGTTTCTCAGTTGCGCCAGCCACGGCTCAGTGGCTCAGCAGCCACCAGCTAGCAACTGCTTTATCGGACAGTGAGGAAACAGACGGATCCATCTGAGTCCTCCTGGCTGGGGGACTGGAGGGCTTGCATCTCCGTTGTCTTCCCTTAAAACGCCGAGCCGGGGGCCAGAAGGTGGCACAGAGGGAAAAACTGGATGCTTTGCCAGGCACTCCATGTGCGAAGGTGGTTCTCCATTCAAGTCCAGAGACCTACTTGAACTGGCCCTTGATGGGGCGGGGACTGGATTGGGGTCAACAGCTGGTTGGTGCTGTTTCTCATGGAAACATCACTTTTTTTTTTTTTTTTTTTGGGGGGTT